ATCAAGTCCACGTTGAAATTTTCACAACGAGAAAAAATTACTGGGACTTAGTTAAAATATTTAACTTTGCCCCAATAAAATTTTCTCGTTGTGAAATATTCAATGTGAGCCTCATTCATTCGAATGTTGGCTTTGGGATAATACAGCATGCATAAATAACTCGTCTGTCTTAATTGAAAAGGTTTCAGAAAATTTGGACTTAGAAAAAAAAATATCTGAAAGGACTTAGAAAAAAAAATTATTCGAAAGAATTATAATCAGAAAATTTGGACTTAGAAAAAAAATATATATCTGAAAGGACTTAGAAAAAAAAAATATTCGAAAGAACTATAATCAGAAAATTTGGACTTAGAAAAAAAAAATTATTCGAGAGAATTATTTAATTAATCGATGACATGAAATGATATTAATCGAATCAAAATTGTTTATACGACTTGATGAAACATATGAAACCTTTACAATTATTCGAGACAAAAACAAATTTAGTTGACTTGAATAATATACAAATTATTAGAAAAAGCCATAAAAGAAATTCAATAAAACATGTAAAATGAAATAATGAAAAATGTTCGAAAACTTGAACATTAAAAACTTCAAAACTGTTTAAAGCTGATTGTTATCCTTTAGAAATCAAGTTAAATAATTTTTACTACTTGAATCGAATAATAAACTTGTAAACAAAATTATATTTTGTCTAATCATTCAAGTCAACTCTTCGAAACTTTGATTGCAAGTCTTGATCAAAATTGTTTTTAGCAACAAAAGAATAAAAATTTATCATTTAGCTATGCAGCGATATAATTGAATAAATTTAGAATAAAACTACAGTCAAAGACTTTTAAAAGCTGCATTTAATTAACAATTTCGTAAGTTATATTGAGAGTTTTAAATATTTTGATCAAAACCAACAATCGTGTTATCATAAAAAAAAATGTTCATGCAGTCAATATCGCTACAGGGAAAACACATGATTCTTGACACTGAAAATATCAAATACAAATACAAATATTTTTTCTGTATAATAATGAACAAGAGATGTAATAAAAAAGAGTTTTTTGTTACAAAGTAAGTTTGTAATTTGTAACAAAATACCATCAATTTAGGAGTTACCTAAGGAGGATTGCTAGGGCCTCTTCAACAAATAAGTAATCAATGTACACAAAAAGCTGTATTGGTTAACTAATAATTTAGTTACAAACATTTTTATATACATATAACAATTCTGAATTCCACACAAAATCTGCCCATAGATATAAAATAAAAGAATTTCTGAACGTATTTCTGATTTCTGACTTTCTTCTTCGGCACTTGTATAAATAAATAAAAGAACTGAATCAAAATGTTTTCCCCGTAACAAATTAAATAAGAACATAGTCTTTCACACATATGCCTGCCCAATTAATTTAAAAGCTTTTATTCGCATAAAAGTTGTAGTTGAATATACAAAAGATAAATTGTATTTTATGCATTAAAAATTTATAAAGTATACCTTATTAAAAAAATGACATTGGCTCAAATATAAACAATATTTTTAGCAGATATATGTATGCAAAATAATAATAATGCACAAGTCAGAAAATATTTCAATAAAATATATACAGGTTAATTTATAAATGACACCGGATAACAAATGGACAAGTTCTCAAAGTACCTTCAAATCAATTTGATTTAATTAGAAAAACAAGCATAAAATACATAATTAATAAGAAATATTATTATTACAAGTATAAAAAGTAGCATACAAACTTAATCAATAATTGTAAACTCCTTTCGGAAAATAAATTCTATATCTTTTTATTTATTTCTATTCCAATCGTAGTTTTATTGAAGATGACAAACAATATTGTGTCAAAGAAAAAAGATTTTCAAAATTAATTGACTGCTTTAAAATCAAAATTAAGAAATACTTAATGCATATATACACATTATATATATATATATATATATATATATATATATATATATAATAGGAAACTAAATATTTAAAACATGGTGCATCGAATGCTATACGATAAATGCCTGTATATAATTCCAGAAATATAATCTTTGACTCGATTTGTATAAAACATTATTATTACTTACATTGTAATGAATCCTCTTCAACAGCTCCCAGAACACAAATCCAAGACTTCAACCACCTCTGTAGCATCTGCCAGAAACCTCAAGTACTCGACACAAAATCACTACTTTAAAACCACTATATAACTTTGTCTTTTACATGCCTATTGGACATGTTGCAATTGTCCGAGTAAAGTCTTTACACAACACACAATACATGACATACATTAGAGACTTTTGTGAACTTAAAATTCGATAACAAATTGATTTGAAGTGGAAATGTTTAAGCAATACCTACAAAAGCATACACATACATACATATATAAGTTGCACAATTGACAATTGCATATATATATAAATAAAGGATACTTTGGCTGTGCTGTAAGTAAAATGTTTAATTATAAAATTGATACGAAATAGGAGCCCTGAAAACAAATCATGGTACACACCTAAACATTTCGACACAAATCTATTTTTTGGCTATTTTTGACCATTCCACGTTATATTTTTTATATCAAGTTGTTCTACTAAATTAATTAATCAATTTGATGCACGAATTAATTAAATCTTATCAACAAATTAATTAAAAACTCTTAATTAACACGCGTACATGTTTATTCACAAAAATCTCTTTGACAATTAAAATTAGCAAAATGTCCGACATTAGTACAATTTAAAGCGCGAAATTTAAACACAAAATTTGAAATTTGCGAAATTCATTTAAATTCATCAAAATCAGTTCAAAGTGATTAGATTTGCATAAAAATATAAAATTTTTCAGTTAAATTTGTTTTATTAAATTATTTCAATTTATTGATGAATGTTTCATTTAGATTTGATACTTAAAACAAATAATATTATAAATTATATACCATAAAATTTATAATTACAATTACAATTATATATATATATATATATATATATATATATATATATATCCTCAAATGCAATCCAAGATACAAATAGCATACCAAATATTTAAAAATAGACTGAGTGAACATCTTGATGCTCACAGTGTTCTCTTCTTAAGTAAATACAAAAATTAGATTAAAATTGATATAGTTTATATATATATATATATATATATATATATATATATATATATATATATATAATATTTGCAATGTCCGTCTTCAAAGACCATTATCTCAAAAAGCATTTATCAGAAAACTGTCAAATCCTCCTCCGTCCCGACGGAGAACGAGGAATTTTCGCCTCCCAAGACTTAAAATCAGGAGATCTCCTTTTCCAAGATAGACCTTTACTTCTGGGCCCTAAAAATGCTGTCACTGCTGTTCAGTGCTCATGCTGTTATAAATCTAATGCGGATTTAAAACCCTGCAGAAAGGGGTGCTCTTTGCCATTGTGCGAAGATTGTTCGAAGGACAAAGAAGAACATGAACAAGATTGCACGATGCTGAGGAATTTGGGTATTTGTGATAGTAAGGATAATGGATATAAATATATATATATATATATATATATATATATACTAAGTATATATCATTGCAATTATTTTTTTTAGCAAATTCCTGGAGCCTGAACGTCCTCCGAGCTCTGACTCCGTTGCGTGCACTGCGTTTGCAAGAAAAAGATAAAAACGTCTTGAAATTATTAAAATCACTCAAGAACATTTCAACTAGAGATGAATTGGATAGTTTTTTGAGATTATTAGATAATCCTAATATCATAGATGTACAAGATATTGAATTTATGCATCAAGTTTGTAGTATTCTGCAAACTAATTCTTTTGAAGTGCCTGTTGTCAACTGTGGGGTGGAAATTAGTTATATCAGAGGTATATTATATATATATATATATATATATATATATAATTAACCTGGTAAAAATTCTTACTGGTTAAATTTGTTGAGAATGTGCAATATTTTTCTATAACTTTCGTAACTTTTAAACCGTAGCATGAATAGTAATTATGTATTAAGTAAATTTGTTCTCGATCAAATCATCTTCAACTTTGTCTAACATTATAATGCTCTACAAGAACTCGATCTACTTACAAAATGATTTTTTATGTAGGCATTTATCCCATGGCGGCTATGTTGAATCATTCGTGTGCGCCGAACGTGCGCCATTCTTTTGTTAAAGAAAAGGCAGAGGATTCGGTAAAAGGTAAAAACTTATTATAATTATTATATAAATTATATTTTATTATTTTATTGCTTACTCTTTTATCTAGGGGGTGTACAATTTTCGCCGATTTTAGAATTTCGTGCAAGACAAGATGTAAAATGTGGAGAAGAATTATTCATTACCTACTGCGATATCACTGATGTGACATCAGTCCGGCTCAAAAAATTGTCTTTGACTAAAGGATTCTTGTGCAAATGTCCAAGATGCTCAGATAGGACGGTAAATTATTTTATAATATGTATCATATAATTTTAATGTGCCTGTATGAAATCGCCATTTAACAACAAAAAAGAACAACTTTTATGCTGATTTTGATTAGGAATTTGGCACAAATATTTCTGCATTCAAGTGTGCGAACCAAGATAAAGACTGTGCAGGTATGATGTTACCGCAGGAGCCCCTAAAATTATCTACAGATTACATTTGTATATCTTGCAACTTTATTTTAAATAAAGATTTAGTAGAAGATTATCAAAAATCTGCAACAGCATTATTGGCAACTTTGAAAAATGGACAGTTAGACAAGGTAAGCGCTACCATCTGGTTCATACTGTCTGAAACTATTTATATAATAAATTTATTTAATTATTTAATTATTACAGGTGATAAAGTTTTTACAAAAAAACAAAGAATCAAATTGGCTGCCTCAATGTAGTTTTGTATACATAAAATTAAAAATGCATTTAATTTCTAATTTAGGACATCAAGAAGGATTCCAATGGCATGGTACATATAAATCTGTATTAAACTTTAATTGAAAATCATTATCATATTATGCTTGCAGAACTGATGACTGAACACTTGTTATTGAAAAAACAAGCATGTGATGATATTTTACAATTTCTCACCAGAGTAAATTATTGTAAATCAACTCTGTATGGTTCAGTATTGCATGAAGCTCAAAAATGTATTCGACATCTTTCACAAACAGAAGTAAATATAAAATGATTAAATATCTAGTCATTTAACTTTATTTATTCTTATTGTTGCAGAGTGATATAAAATTGGCGAATGATTATTTAAATGAAGCAAAAGACATTTTAAAAAATGATGTTACTGTTGTATTAGATGATTATTAAAGATCTTCCGCATTCTGCTTTAATATACAAGTGGGATTTAGTAGTATGTATATTATCCAAATAGATATACAAGTGGGATTTAGTAGTATGTATATTATCCAAATAGAATTAAAATAGAATGAGTCAAATAACGAATAATATTTTACAAAATTTATTCTTCATTTACTTTCAAAATATGTATATAATACAATCGAGCACCATAATTCCAATATCAACAGATATGTATAATAGTTATTTTATATATTTAAATTTCTTTTGTCATCAGTCAGCATTAAAAAAATCTTTATCAACTAGGCTGAGTATTTAAATTTCATTGTCAAATAATATCATTTAAAATAAATTGTTTGTAGTTACGCATTTGATTCAATGGCTGCATCAAGTGGTCCTACACCTTCTCCATAGTCTAATTCATCATCATATGCATCATAAGTGTCGTCTAGCTCAGCTGCTCCTTCTTTTGGTTCAGGACATTCAAGACATCTAAATAAAATAGAGATAATATTAACAAAAAAAGCATTAATCTATCATTTGAATTAGAATATTAATGTATAAAAAATGTACAAAATGTTGTTTATGCTTAATTTTTTCAATAATAAATTCTTAAAACAGATATAAAGTTATGTTTGTGTTTAAATTTTACCTGCTTTCATTAATTCCATAATTAATACAAGTGTCTCCAATACATTCACAACAACCATCATGGAACCATCGATAGCTGGAAGACCCCATAGTTTGACAATGATGTTTACATTTATTCCAAGACATACATTGAGATTGGTAAGCAACTGTGCAATTTACTGTTATGATATTGTCCCTGCTTTTAGGTTCAGTAACATCAGAGTCTACAGATTCTATAAAGCATTACAATTAGTATTTTATTATTAACTACATAAAAGTTAGTATTACTTACGTAAATAATACTCCTCTTTCTCATGCTGAATCCTGTATGGTGATTGATCAAAATCTACAGGAAATGTAAAAGTCAACCACCTTTGTAAAGGATCAGGATCTGAGGTCAAAGCTTTAAACAATCCTGGTATAGAATCATGAAAATCTTCAATATGACTTTTTTTGCTTAATACATTATTTGTCTCATTGGGCTTTGGGCACATATCTACACATGAACAACATTCGCTGTACAAGTAGCTTAGACAGCTAAAGCATTCCTTGCAACAGGAACAGTCTTTTAAATCGCATTTACAGGATTGAGTCAACATACATTTTGAAACAACACTTGCACATATAGCTTTGTTGCAACTCTCTGTAGGTCTGAATAAAACTACTGAAGCAATGAGAATTATAGCAAAAACAAGCCACTTTTTCATTTTCAAAAACTGGAAATAAAAAGGACTTAAAAGTTGGATAATCACTATTATTAATAAATCATAAAAAATTAATATATAACACTCAATTGTTGATAAATTAATAATATTACATAAAAATAAAAACTTGCTTATAAGTCTAAATAGATTAGTAATGTACAAAAGAAGTATACACAAATACAAGTAGTTTAATATTTAATCAACTCACTTTATTTTATTCCTGGTAATAAATAACTGTTTTAACGAAAAAACTACCTTATTTCAACAAAGGACAATTGAACCATCTCAACTTTAAAGGATTTCTAGGAATTATGTAAACAATAAATCAAAATAAAGAGAAAAAGAGCAAATACAAAAAAAATGCTGTCAAACGTACGTCATAGCAAAACAATGCGAGGTGTTATCCTTGGCCTTACACATTGGCAACACTGATAAATTATTTGAATTTACGCGGACTATAAAGGTATGAAAGAATAAATTAGCTCGTGCTTGTATCAATCATGCAATATGTAATTTAATAAAGTAAAATTATATTATAGTATATTTAGTAGTTTTCCACAGATTTGCATTGAAATTCATCGTCTACTATGGGCGTTTATTTAACAAAGAAAAAACAATATCCACATATCAAAATTCATATCATAGTATATCAACATTTTTAACTGAAGGATGAAATGTTATACCACATTCAGAATTCTTTACTAAATATGTACATAAATAAGTTTTATTTATTACATTTTATCTATACATTGTTTTCAGTTGATTTATTTATTCTATTATTTTTTTTACATTTGTTATACCTGAAATGGCATTTAAAACTCCGATCATCTATCAAATCTCTTCAAGCACCTTTATTTATTTGAATAAAATCCTCCTCTTGTATAAAAACATGGTGAATTCATTTATTAATAAAACATTCAACATATCTAAAAAAATATTGTTTATAAAATTTAATTCAATGAGTATTATCTAATATATACATCTCAAAAATGAGTATTAATTCTTAGTCAAGATGAGTTTTGATTTAGTGGCATCCACAACTTTTAACCACCATATTTTTATATTTTTTTAAAATAACATTAGTCTCGTCCAAGAAATATAAAACAGGTAACGGGAACAATTTCGTTGGAGCACAGCACGGTTTTGGAACCTACAATAAAAAAAATACAATTTTAAAAAACTATTTTTATTAAATTTCATATTAAAATTATATATCATATTAAATTTTTTACCTGTGTGGGGTTCATTAAGTGTACAAGTGTTTGTACAATTGCATGATTGGTTGCATTCATATGAGCATTTAATGGAAAATTACATTCTCCGCTGCAATAAAATGCTGGGTAACCTTCCGGAGCTATTATCCAGTCCTAAAAATTTAAATAAACACTGATAGAACATTTTCAAAATATTAATAATGTTAGATTTGGAGACTACCTTGATTTTTTTAAATATTCCTTTCACATTTGAAGCTTGAATAGAGAATTTATTTAAATTAAATTTATTTGCAAATTTTTAATTGTATTATTAGAAACATTGAGTCCTTGTATTGGAAAAACATTTAGATAATTTCATTTTATTGTTAAAAAAAATTAATATTTATAATAGATGTCTATATATAATGAATACATGGGTCATTTCAAGCAATGTTAATATGAGAATTATTTACCTGCCATTGTAAATCTTTGAAGTTTACATACAAAGTTTGAATTTGACAACTACGAGAAGATTTAGGCTGATACATTCCAGGATCTAAAATTATAACAATATATTAAAATGCATTTCAACAATATTTATATTAAATAATCAATCATCTTACCAGTATAAGGATTTCTATCATGTGTATAGTTTGGGCTGCTATTCTGATAATGATGATCGCTCTTCTTGCGCCTTCTTGCAGCGTCTCTTTTTCTTCTACCTTCAACGCTATGACGCCTTCTCCACGCACCCCTTCCGGCAACTCTGCTTTGCTCCATAGGCCCCCCTAAAGACTGACCGCCACGGGCTTCAAAAAATCCTACTATAAAAGCTTCTTTGTCAAAGTCTTCAGGATGATTGTGGTGGCGAGAGGTGATTATTCCTAGATCTTCTAGGTGCATTTCGTGAGCTGAAGAAAATTATAGTAAATTTGGTATTAGGCATATATTTTAGAATGCACAATTTATTGTTCAGGTATGCCTTATTACCTGGTCTATGTGATGGGGTAACAGAAATATATAAGCCTCTGTTATCATCATGTTTTTGAGCCCAAGATACCAATGCTGATGATACATTTAATTCAAGCCAGCCCTCAAAATCTCTAGTTGTATTAACAGACGATAACAGTTCTAGCTGCCTTTCACTAAATTAATAAATTTTCACGATTATCAATGCAAAATAAACTAAAGTGAATAAACTATCAATTATATATTATCTATGAAATTTGTGATGCCAAATTAAATTCAGTAATTATTCACAAAGCAACTGAAATGGATTAAAGAAAATACAAAAAGGACTAACCATTATCAAAGGAAGGGACTTACAAGATATGAATAATAATAAACTAACTTTTTAGTAACTCCAGATACAATTCTGTAAGCACTAACACTGAAAAGATGATCTTCATAATAATCGTCCTCGTTTTCCAAATACGTTTTATTTCCAGTCTGGTACAGACGAAGCTCTGCACCTCGAAGACCTGAATAGAATGAGTATTAATCTATAATTGCACTTATATATATATATATATATATATATATATATGTGTGTGTGTGTGTAAATTATAAATTACCTTCTGCTTCAGATTCTATATCAGATACATCAAAATACAAACGACGTCCAAGTTCATGAGGTCTTCTGGATGAATGGATTTTATGATCTGCAAAAAAAGAAATTATATATATACATATATATATATATATATATATATAAAAGTTTAAATAATCTAACTTAAATTAAATCGAGAAAGTCCTCTGCACTATAATTTAGTCACTCGTACGTTCTTCCTTAACTTGTAAGAGATGAACGGATTATTAGAGAAATTTATGCAAAATTAAAAAATCTATATGATTCTCTAATATAATAAAAGACTACAGCAACTCGACATAGTTCAAAATCGGAATTAAATGTAGCAAATTATAACATGCCCGTTGATAGCGTTATAACGTCTATAGATTCTGAACCATTCGATTAATATGAACAATGTATGAGAAAAATTTGTTGAAATAATCTACAAATATTGCTGATGACCAAAGACAGTAGAACGAATCGGTTTACGGTTAAATTCGCAATTTTCAACATTCGACTAATGCGGAACTTAGGTAACTCTAAAAGCCTGTAAAGATCATTACTCGTAATATTTTTTATTGATTATAAACAAAGGATCAAAATCAAAATAAAAAAATATCAAAATATTCTACAACAACTCGGTATACTCATAAATTATAATAAAAGATGAAAAATCTTCAGTGCGTCTGCTGATCCAGACGCGGTGTCTACGTCCATATCACAAAGCCGAGAACCGATATTTGTTTTAATGGATTTTTTCGAAAGATTATAAACGTAAAAGAAATAATAAGTATGTATATACATATAGACATATAAATGTACGTATGTATGTATGTATGTATATAAAAAAACAAACACCCAATTGAGACCTCACACGCTAAAAGAATGCGCCTACCTGTACAAGGAATGTCAGGGAGATAATTATTTTAGTGCCAGGTAATAAAAAAACAATGCAGATATTTCTACGAAGCTATTAAAAAATGGATTTGAAAGCTTCCAACGCACTTTACGAAATTATGCATAAATCTAGTGCAAATATTCGCACATCAATTCGATTGTTATTTTTTTATATAAAAACTAGTGGTGCATGGTATCGTGCCTTAAGGTAAATTGCTGGAACTTTACAAACCGATATTTGAATTTTTAAAAAGGTTGAACATTATTTGAAAATAAAAAAAAACAAATTTGTCTTCGATTTCTAACGGTTAAACATTATAAATCTTGGTACACAATCCATAGAATTGTAAACAAAATTTGTACTTATTATTAAAATCTCTATAAAATATCTGATAATTTCAAGTGCATATATTTAATGATCATTTTTGATGAATCAAATGCTTTTTGAATCATCAAATCGGTGAATATTGCTCTAGAAATCGTTGACGAAAAATTGTATCCGAACATGCATACATACATACACATACATATTACACATACATATTACACATACACACACATTCACACATATATCCTTTTTTTCTGAAGTATACCAAAATTGAAACATAAAGATATGCATAAGTTACCATTTTAGATTTTTTGAAATTGATTTACCCTATAGAAAATTTTAATAGCTTCAAAATTAATTCAATTGTCATTTTATATTCATAAATAAAAAAAAATTAGCTTTGCTACACTTTTCATGTTCTTCAATTTCTCTAAATAATCATATAATTCGAATAGTTTCTAAATTGTGGAAGCAGTTTACCAAGGCTATGACAGATTTATATTTTAACATTTGTAGTTTTATATATATTTTAATATTCAAAACAGTTTAAAGAATAGAGTGAGTTGTCTTTAGCAGTAATTACATATATACATATTATACGTAATAAAAATTAATTTTATCCGTTATTGTCTTCAGTTTCTAAACTGTTTATTATAACAATCATTTCTAGGTCATTAATAAACTTGAAAACACGGTTTTCCAAATAATATTATTATGCAATATTATAAATTTATTAAAGATAATGATGAACAGCTTAATATTAATGAATCCCAATAAAATTACTAACAAGTCAAAAATTGAAGTTGAACAATATTATAAACTATTTCATACTTCTACATATTTTTAAATGCTTATATATTGAAACATTTAACATTCGATTGTTTATATATATATATATATATATATATATACATATATACATATATGTATAAATTATTTTTACAAAGGAGATCATTTAACTCCTTTGATAACAAATCAATTCATAATTAAATCTGCAACTCACGTCTACTCTGGAATGTGACAATGACATCACTTTCATCAATAGCAATTAGATCCTCTCCACTCAAACTGGACATATCAGAGCTCCTGGTCTCCCTTGAATTTTCTTCCTCGGCTATAGACTTATACACATCCAACAAAAATTTAGGCGCACTTTTCTTTATAGGTATGTGATGTCGTTTTTTAGGTCTTGTCGGGAGTCCCAACAAATCCAAGATCTCGTGTTCTAATAGTATTTTTTCTTCTGTTGACATCACTCGTTGGATCATGGTTTGGTCCAGGCCATTGCTCATGTATAAACCAGAAAGGGAACATTGGCAGGGAATGGTTAGAAGGAATAGTATTGTGAGTGTTTTGAGGATCATTTTGAAGGATACATATAATAATAAGTGAGTTTATAAAAAAAAGGCACAGTTGGGCAATTAAAAACTAGTTTAATAAAATATTATTGGTGTGTTCACATTACGTTATTGTAACTTGTGTCACGATTTATAATATAATTAATTCATTAATTTTATTTTAGTTTAGCACAAACCACTCATTATTAAGCATAATATATTTATTCAAAGGTTTTTTACTAAATAAACAAACACAAAATGTTTTTAGCATTCGAGTTCTTCGTTCTTGTCAGTTCTTGTGAAATGACAGAATGACAGAATGACTGAATGTGGTACTTGAGCGCCTCTCGTGGCAGAACAATGAAAACTTGTTGACGGATAAATAAAATTCAAATGTAAACTTTCCAAAAAAATATAAAGTGTCTTTAACATAATTTTATAGTTACTAAGATGTAGATGCCATTATAAATATAAAATAGAAAAGAGACATTTTTATAATTCCACTTAGATTTACAAATCATTGCATAATGGTAAGATTTAATACAATTACTTATAAGCAATTATCAACATTTGTTTATCATTCATAAAGTTTATCCTATATTAATTCTATTTTCATTTAATCATAATATCATCAATATTATTTGAATAATATATTATATATATATCTATTATCCAGGGTACCAGACAACCTAGAAGAACCTCGCCGAGCAACTGGCAAAGTATAGTAAAAGATGAATACATTCCACTGAAAGTCGGTTCTATAGATGGTAAATAAGTTATAGAACATTAACTGGAGTTGTCATTATATATATAATTAATTTTAGCAACAGACACTCAGCCACATGACAGAGCAATAATCAGAGCTGAAACTTCAGAGTATTATCCGAATAAAAAAGTTACCGGTGAGGCCAGGAAGACTATATTTATAGGCAGATTGAATCCACATAGCACAGAAGTACTGACATAAATACTTGATTGCTTGACTGGTATTTTGAACTGCTGATTAATTATTACAGAATACGCTTATGAGATTTTTCTCAGAGTTTGGCAGGATCAGAAAGTGTCGTGTAGTTCGTGATATTGTTACAGGATTTTCAAAGAGGTATGCTTTCATAGAATATGAGCATTCTGCTGACGCCTTAAAAGCAAGTGAGAGAGCTGATGGAATGATTATTGATAAGGAGAAGATATTTGTAGACATGGAATGTGAACGGTAAATAGATATATCTGAATACTTTTATTTATATATATATATATATATATATATATAAATAAATAAAAGTACAACTATACTTTTATTGTAGAACTTTGAAAGGATGGAAACCTCGTCGCTTAGGAGGAGGATTTGGAGGACAAAAAGAATCAGGTACATTTTTGTTTATATTTTATTTCACATATATATATATATATATATATATATATATATATGAGAATAAACACAAATTTAATGTTATCAAGTATATATATATGTGTGTGTGTGTGTGTGTGTGTGTGTGTATAATGAAGACTTGATTTTCTTTATACAAAGTATTATTCGAAGCATGAAAAAACACTTTTTATTTAATTTTGGACTGGGAATTAAAGTCAATTACACAGCATTGTGAAATGTTGTGCAGAACAAAACATATATTTTTTGTGGGAGGGCCCCGCGATGTCCTTATATTTCATTCTTGCCCAAGTAGGTATAAGTTCTTATTAGAGATTGCCAGATGGCATGACAAGTGACAACAATCATAACCCCACTCATTATGTCAACATTAAATTTGTGTTTATTCTCATATTTGTGATTTTATGCAAATGAATCGTAGAAATATTAATTAAAAATGGGATTTAAATGCTGCGTACCCGATTGTAATAATAATTCAAAGTCCGAACACGTCGTATTACGTTCTTTTCCAAGTAAATCTTGTGACAAAGTAAGTATCCTAAAAAATATTGTTATTTGTATAATTTCAAACTCATTAGTTATTGTTTTCAAGATGCGTTTGAGGTGGCTCGATGCCATTAATAGAGACGATTTGAGGTGCAAAGATTTAGATAATTACAGAGTTTGCGATGAGCACTTCGAAGACGATTGTTTTTATCCAAAAGGTAGTGACAGATTGCAAAAGGGTCTTAAGAAAAGTGCTATACCTACTTTGAAGTTAACAGGTAAACCAGAGGAAGCACCTAAATTAAAAGAAGCACCTAAATTAAAAGAAGCACCTAAATCAAATGAAGCACCTAAATCAGATGAAGCACACATTATAGAGTTCGTGGATGAACTGGTTTATGTACTGGATTCTTCAGAATCTGAAGACAGTATGTCAATATTTGCAATATATTCTATACTTCTATAGTATCAACAATTATATTTTCTATTCTTATTTCAAGATGCATCTGAAACTCAATCTCAATCATGTGGTTCACCTCAAGTTCCGGATCATACATATGAAAATGTGACAATCAACAAAAAGCCCAGTTCGTACTTAACATTATGCATATTTTAAAATTTTGTATAATTTATATCTATTACCATTTTAGGACAACCACGTGCACGAACAGTTCTACAAACTTTAGGAATTGGCAAAATAGAATACTTGACGAAAAGGGAATTGAAAATGTATAACATGATCAAAGATCATGAAAAAACAATTAATGAGTTAAAACGACAAAAACTTACACTTGGAAAGCAGTTATATAGAGCAAAAGCAATGATTGCAAATTTAAAAGTTTTGAATAAAATGAATTTGAAACTTAGCTAAGAATAGAAATTATATATTCCTTGAAATTCTGTTTTGAAATGAAAGATTGGTTTATAATATGCGAGGTGTCAAGACTGAAATTTGTATTGAATGTGATTTCAATAAAGGATATTCAATAATATCAAGTTTCATTTGGAATTTAGTACTTTATTTTATTTATGTTAAGATATAATGTTTAATGTACATAAATATACATTTATATATATATATATATATATATATATACATATATAAATTAATTAAATTTCCCAAATATCTTGTATATATTGTTGGTATGATTTAAACATATATACGAGTAATGCATCTCGTTTAAAAAATGGGGGCATTTGTTATTAATAGAATTTGTAGACATTTTTTTGTTAAACAAATTTCATAGATACTCAATAATTAAATATTGTTTGGTTTTAGGTCAATTGAGGTTTGGAGGAAAAGCGAGACCATTTCTTAGACCTATTGACGCTTTCACAAGAAAACATTGAAGCTGTGTTTAGATTACTTTATTTTATAAATTTTGTACAATACTTCAAGAAATATACATGTATATATAAATATATTATCAAAAGAATTAATCAGTGTGAAATTTTCTATTACATTTTGAGATTAAATTTTTGATTAAGCATGAAATTGATAAAATAATTTTGAAGCAACATTTTATTTAAAACAACACGAATGCATATCTGGTACTTTATAAATATTATATTTAATTGAAAATGATAGGAATGCTATCATTAATAATCACAATAGTGATTTTAATTTTGTTTTTCTTTGTAATACAAATAACAAAGGTAATTGCTATGAAACTGTTGAATTGACATTACTTATATTATATTGTAATTCTTTTAATCTTATAGATTGAGGCAAGGAGTCATCATGGTCAACATAACTTGCCAAATATTGCTAATGGAATGTTTAGACCACACGAATCTCTTTTAGAACAAGATTTTGTGCTGGAAGATAATAATATTTTGTATATTTTTGATCAAAAAGATCCTTCTATTTTCGGACACCATAAGGAGAATCATGAAAAGGTATGCATATATATATATATATATATATATATATATATTGCAAAGAAATATACATTTATCTGAAAATGTACTTTTTACAGTTGATGAATGGAAATGACAAAAGGACAAGAAAGGGTTCAAGAAGCTTAGGACATCATCGAGATGCTTCACATGGTTTAGATTTGGAAAGTAAAGTTCCTGGTAAAAATAAGAATAAAAGAACCAGTGGTATGGACAACTTGTGTAGATTTGATAAAGATACTGGTTTGGATTTGTTTTTGATTATGCAGTTAATGAACGTTTTTGAAGGTGTTACCTTTCATGAATAGACAATACATTAAATTTTCATAAAAAAAATTGAACTTTGGACTTCAAAGTCATTGTGATAAATGTAGTATAGTTTAGAATTGTTTGTATATTATTAAAATAATATATAAGTATAATTTAAATAAGCTTTTTGATAGTTTTGTATTAAGTCACGCAGTCCTGTTAATTTGTTATATTATTTAACCTTATTTTAATCAATTTATCTTAATAATCTGTATTGGCCATTAAGTTTCTGTACTATTGATAATTCAAACAACGCATTTGTGCATTTTATTTATTATAGTTCTGTATCTTTTGAACGACTTGCTTAATGTGAATTATTAAGAATATTTGTACAAAGTTTTATATCATAATGCCCTAGACTTAGAGCAACGTTGGCAAAAGGTATTGTGAAAATAATTGCCACAATGTATGTAATTTGTTCGATACAAGAAAATTATCATAACCAAAGAGCAACAAGATGGAAAAGGGCTTTCTTTTGTTTGCGATCCTGATAGTTATTGGACAGAGATTTTTAATGCAAAACATGTAGCAACAAGTTGTACTGCTTGATGGAATTTAAATGTTATATTTATTGAAATAAAATTTATTCTTTATGTATTTTCTTAGAGCTTTTTGTAATAAAATATAATAAAAACAGCAAACATCCATTAAATAATTTTATATAATTATATATTTGTACCTGATATTGTTCATTGATGGCGATCCTAATATTGAGGACCTTGGATGTTCCGGAGGATCTATTTTGATGTCATTGTTCCTGATGATGGCTCATATCTGTAATCAAAAGAAACGTTCATTAATTGATGGAATTACTCTTTAAAATAGTAATAATTATTGTTTAAAATTTGTTTTAGTTGAGAACAGCAAGCGTCCAATTTATAATATCGTTGCCAAAAATAATAAAAAATGGCAAACGTCCAATTTATAATATCGTTGCCAAAAAAATAATTATAATAGCAAACGTCCAAATTATAATATCGTTGCCAGAAATATAATAAAACAGCAAACGTCCAGTTTATAATATCGTTGCTAAAAATATGATAAAAACGGCAAACGACCAATTTATAATATCGTTGCCAAAAATAATAAAAAATGACAAACGTCCAATTTATAATATCGTTGCCAAAAAAATAATTATAATAGCAAACGTCCAATTTATAATATTGTTGCCAAAAATATAATAAAAAGCAGCAAACGTCCAATTTGTAATATCGTTGCCAAAAATATAATAAAAAGCGGCAAACTTTCAATTTATAATATCGTTGCCAAAAATATAATAAAAACAGCAAAAGTCCAATTAATAATATTGTGTACTATATTAGTACCTGATAATTTCCATCACTGATGAAGATCTTAATATTGAGGACCTTGGATGTTCCAGAGGATCTACTTTGACGCCGTTGTTCCTGATGATGGCCCATATCTGTAATTAAAAGCGATTTTAATTAATAAATGGCATTACTATTTAAAATAGTAATAATTATTGTTAAAATTTTGTTTTAGTTGAGAACAGCAAGCGTCCAATTTATAATATCGTTGCCAAAAAAATAATAAAAATGGAAAACGTCCAATTTATAATATCGTTGCCAAAAATAATAAAAAATGGCAAACGTCCAATTTATAATATCGTTGCCAAAAAAATAATTATAATAGCAAACGTCCAATTTATAATATCGTTGCCAGAAATATAATAAAACAGCAAACGTCCAATTTATAATATCGTTGCTAAAAATATGATAAAAACGGCAAACGTCCAATTTATAATATCGTTGCCAAAAATAATAAAAAATGACAAACGTCCAATTTATAATATCGTTGCCAAAAAAATAATTATAATAGCAAACGTCCAATTTATAATAGCGATGCCAAAAATATAATAAAAACAGCAAAAGTCCAATTAATAATATTGTGTACTATATTAGTACCTGACAATTTCCATCACTGATGAAGATCTTAATATTGAGGACCTTGGATGTTCCAGAGGAACTACTTTGACGTCGTTATTCCTGATGATGGCTCATACCTCTGTAATTAAAAGAGACTTCAATTAATAAATGGCATTACTATTTAAAATAGTAAGAATTATTGTTTAAATTTTGTTTTAGTTGAGAACAGCAAGCGTCCAATTTATAATATCGTTGCCAAAAAAGTAATAAAAATGGCAAACGTCCAATTTATAATATCGTTGCCAAAAATAATAAAAAACGGCAAACGTCCAATTTATAATATCGTTGCCATAATTAATAAAAACAGCAAACGTCCAATTTATAATATCGTTGCTGGTCATTTTAAAAAATATAATAAAAACAGCAAACGCCTAAATAATAATTTCGTTGCCATATTCATCGTAAAATTAAAATATTAAAATAGTGTACGATGTATGTAATTTTTGTTCAATACAAAGATCATGATAATGAAAAAAATATGAACCAAATTTTCTAACAGGAAGGTTGATTGGTACTTTGCAAAAACTTCAAAAATAATTTCAAATTTTCATACAAAATTGTATTCAGCTCGTGCAATGCAATTGATTTATCATTATATTATCATTGCAGATACAATTGTATTGCTAAAATTGCATTTGAAACTTTCGTTAGTTGACAGTAGAGAGCCGCCATTTTCTTTCGGTAAAAAACCGAAAAATTTGATGTGGCTTTTTGTATAAAAAATATTGTACAGGCCCATATTTTAAATGTAATTAGATACACTGGATCGAAATGTATCGAATTTTCATTATTAATACATCATGGAAATGATTGTATTGTTTAAAACACAATAAAACCATCGGTTATGGTTATGGCCGCCATCTTGGATTTTCCAAAACCACAAATTTTAAATTGCGAAAAAAATGCAAAAATCCCAATCAATAATTAAAAAAGGTGCGATAATATCAAATAAATATACATATATTTATCGTACATCAACAAATAAAGCACGCACACGACATTTTGAAACACGCAAAATTTCGTTGGCATCTGAACCAGACGGCGTCACTTGCGGTGTTAATAAAATGCAATAATTATGCAAAATAATACAAAATAGAAGCACTTACCTTTTTTAAAAGGGTTGTACACCGGGACACACTTTTTAGACACTGTTTTGCTTTAAAATAATAATATTTACTTATTTGTTGCACTGCACCGCGCGGAGGTGTCAACAGTTCGGAGGCTAACGCGCTAATGAGCCGCGAGCTGATTAGTAGCTAATTTTATAGCTGTTGCACGGATTCAAAATGGCGGATGCTGATGCTGAAGAGAACAACCCCCGAAGGAAAACACAAATCCAGTTCGTTAAATCAGACTATATGGGCGAAATGATATGATAAATATAATAAACCGAGTTAAAACACAATTCCGCACACTAATTAAGCACTTTTCCTTGAGTAGCTAAAGATTACAACAGCTAATAGAATTGATTAAGCATTACACAGTAACAATCAATTTTAAAACAAATTATTGAAACCACATTAAAAATGAAGTACAATACCATGCTTTACACAATAAATATGCGAAAACTCAATCGCACACGTTAATTAACACATTTCTTTCACCAATCTGAATTTTGTATCTGTCAGTGACATACACAGCAACATTTTTTAACTAAATTATTAAAACTTCACACTGACACTAGCTGAAAATAACTTATAAAATATAAATCCTGGATATCAATTATTAAACAGCAAACCGCGTATTGTACTAATTAATTGAAAAAAATTCAAAGTAAATCTACTTGTTGACAATCAAATCATAACCGCATTTTCAAACACTAATAGTTTTACAAGTGTTAGCACCAAAATGGTAAAAAACGTTGGTAAACTCATTACTGATGCAAATTATCGTGTTATCAAATTATATAAACTATAAGTTATATTAATGAATATATAAATAAATAAACAAATTTTCCAATATTTTTTTGGTTTGAAATGACAGCAACATGTGAAGTACACAAACTTTGTTGCAGCGTCACCAACATTAAAAGTAATTCAAATTATCGCACAATATATATTTAAATAAATACACATTAAATATTAATTATAATTCAAATACGTATTGCTTAAGTACTCTAGAAATGATATTACAATATAAAATAATATATTTTTTTAGTTTTGGTTAAATTCTTTCACTCGTATGTCAAACCTGTACCAACGTCCATTTTGTAAATAACTATTTGAATTTCAACATTAAATATGATTATTTGTGTTTACCGAGTACAAGAACATAAAAACCTAATACATCAATACAATAGGTATGTTAATAATTTATTTAAAAAGATATTAGTATTTAGTACACAATGGTTTTTTACACACTGTTTTTTATGTGCATATAAGCACATAAAAAACAGTGTGTAAAAAACCATTTGCTGTAGCAACAAGCATATGTGCACACATAAGCTTCTCTATTTTTGCAGAATTATTAATTATAAGAACAACTATATTGATTTATAATTAAATTATGATTATATAAGTTTAAATGAAGATATTATGTACAAAATGATAATGAGAATAACATAACCATGTTATGATGACAAAATTCACAGTACAAATAAAGCAAGGTGTTATATTATTTATGGAGAATATTTATATATACTGCAAAAAAGGGTAAATATTTAATACAATGGGTATGTTGTTAATTACATAATTCATTAAAACACTTATTAGTATTCAGCTCACAATAGATTTTTAATCGGCCACAAGATATGCACACATAAGCTTCTTTATTTTTGCAGAATTATTAATTATAAGAACTGCGATGAATTTATAATGAAAATATGATTATTTTGGTGAAAATGAAGATATTATGTACAAAATGAGTACTCAGAATAACATAACCATGTTATGACATAACATAATTAATTCACAGAAAGGCACAATAACTGAATCTTTTCTGAAGATATTTGTATTCGCTGGCACAATAACTAAATCTTTCTAAAGATATTTGTATTCGCTGGCATATAATCTGCAATTTGAAGATATAAACATTTGCACAAGTACAAAACAAGACATTGTATGATTTATAAAGGATATTTGCATTTATATAGAATTAAGTCATTGTCTACAATCTGAATTAACTTTCTAGAATCTGGATTTTTCGTCTGGTTAAACTGGTAAGAACTCAATACATCAATACAAAGTGTATGTAAATAATTAGTTAATACATTAAAAAACTTGTTAGTATTTAGTACACAATAGTTTTTAATCTGCAACAAGCATATGCATGCATAAACTTCTCTATCTTTGCACAACTATTAATTATAAGAACAACTATATTGAATTTATAATGAAATTATGATTATTTAGGTTGAAATGAAGATGTCACACACAATCTGTTTACTAAGAACAACTTAACCATAGATACAATTTATTGAAAGGCAAAAGTTATTTATAAAGTATTTTCCTGTTCGCTTATATATATTCCACAATTTGAAGATGATTTACACGAATTTATTATGATTTTATTGTTGAATCAAGAGAAGTACTTCATACAGGTTACTAAACTGTACTTAATACAGGTTTTATACGTATAAAACCTTAATACATTAATACAATGGGTATGTTAATAATTACTTAATTCGCTTAAAAATTAGTATTTAGTACCAAGTTTCTTAAATGGCTAAAGTTTCTCTCTCTTTGTACGATTATCATTTATTTATTTATTTTATTACATTACGCACAGAATTGTTCCAAGTGGACTTATAATTATAATCATTACTAATACAACATAGTAGTATATATAATATAACAATCTCTTAAAATAACATAGAATAATTGTTAAACATATTTAAAAAACAAACTAAAACATATTTGAAAAGCAATATGTGTAAAGATTAAGTTGAGCAGTTGGAGATTATTTGATTTAGTGAACTATTATGATTATTATCTTTAATAATTGGATAAATTTTAGTACACATTACAATATGCGAATTGAACTAAGAATTAGATTTAGGAAAGGATAATCTAGAAACGTTAAAGAATAGTTGATAATATAATATTAATAAAAAGATAAAATACTAAAAAATTATATAAATATAATATTATTTATGAAGGATATTTATTCTCACTGGTAAAAACTTAATGCATCAATACAATTAGTATGTTAATAATTACTCAATTCATTCATAAACTTATTAGTATATAGTACACAATAAACTAATCAGTCACAAGCATATAAGCACGCATAAGCTTCTCTATTTTTACATGATTATTAATTTAAAAAACAACTATTTTGAATATATGATGAAATTTATTTTATCTAGGCTTAAAAGAAGATATGACACATAATCTGTATACTTAAAACTTTTACTTATGAAGGATATTTTTGTTCTCGCTGGCATATAATCGACAATTTGAATGAAGATGATAACAAATACACAGCAAGTCATTATATGGTTTATAAAGGATATTTTCATTTATATAGAATTTATATATAGTTATTGTCTATAATCTGGATTAATTTTCTAGAACCTGGATTATTCGTTTCGTTAAACTGATAAGAACTCGATCAATTCATCAATACAATGGGTATGTTAATAATTACTTATTTTATTCGAACACTTATTAGTAGGTATTTAGTACACAATAGTTTTTATTGGCAACAAGCATATAAATAAAAAACGACTTTAATGAATTATAATTCATTAAAATTAATCTAAATAAACTTAATTTAATTATTATAATAATTCAATTAAGTTTATTTAGGTTTACATGAAAATATAATACACAATTTGTTTACTTAGAACAACATAACAATGTTGTGAATGCAATTAGGAAATTTGCTTTATTAATCCATACGTTAATTAATTAATTAATTATAAAAACGACTTTAATGAATTATAATTCAATAAAATTAACCTAAATAAACTTAATTTAATTATTATAATAATTCAAATAAGTTTATTTAGGTTTACATGAAAATATAATACACAATTTGTTTACTTAGGACAACATAACAATGTTGTGAATGCAATTAGGACATTTGCTTTATTAATCCATACGTTAATTAATTAATTAATTATAAAAACGACTTTAATGAATTATAATTCATTAAAATTAACCTAAATAAACTTAATTTAATTATTATAATAATTCAATTAAGTTTATTTAGGTTTACATGAAAATATAATACACAATTTGTTTACTTAGGACAACATAACAATGTTGTGAATGCAATTAGGACATTTGCTTTATTAATCCATACGTTAATTAATTAATTAATTATAAAAACGACTTTAATGAATTATAATTCATTAAAATTAACCTAAATAAACTTAATTTAATTATTTGAATAATTCAATTAAGTTTATTTAGGTTTACATGAAAATATAATACACAATTTGTTTACTTAGGACAACATAACAATGTTGTGAATGCAATTAGGACATTTGCTTTATTAATCCATACGTTTCGATCTGCATCGAGACCGTCATTCAGTGAAACAAAGGCTACGCTGATTCATCGAAAACATAAATATATCTATAATAATAATACATCCAATAATAAAACAAATTTAATAAAGAAGCATATTTCTATTGCAGTTGAATATTTCATTTTTTCCTAATTGAATTGTTATTTATTGCATATTGTCATTTGTCAACATATGCGGGCAGCCGGGCCGCAAAAATATCTGCTGTGGGCCGCATGCGGCCCGCGGGCCGCGAGTTTGACACCCATGCCCTAGAGCAACGCGGTTCATTAATCATAAATGATAATGAACTAGTGAGGCACATGGCATCGTGCCTTAAGGCAAATTGCTGGGACTTTCCGTACCAAAAATTATTATATTTTTTAAAACGATTAACATTTTTGAAAAAGTTTTATTAAAAAAAAATAGATTTTTGAGAGTTTCTCAAATTTTTGGTGTTGTGTTTCATAAATTTAACACAAAATTACTTTTTTTTGAAAAAAAAAAATTATTGAAAAAAAATGTTTTCTTTATTTTGACATATTTTGAATGTAAACAAAATTTATACTTATTATTAAAATCTCTATAAAATATCTGATAATTTTATTTTGACATATTTTGAATGTAAACAAAATTTATACTTATTATTAAAATCTCTATAAAATATCTGATAATTTTATTTTTTGACCGCCAAATGGCATTTTTTTACTTTTTTTATTAGATCTCCGAAATCGCTAGACCTGCCTTCATGAAAATTTGTTCAATTCTTCATCTTGTCAATACAAGTAAAATGTTTTTTGAATTATTAAAATCGGATGCTCCGTTCTTTTAAAAACTGAGTTACCATTTATGGCCTGCCTTCGCCAAAAACTAATCAGCACGTCTAGTTATCAATATGAATCGAATGTTTTTTGAATTATTCAAATCGGTTGATCGGTGTTCCCGTAATTGTCGACGAAAATTTGTATCCGCACACACACACACACATACACGCACATAAACACACATACACACACACATACATACATTCATACAGATTCCTTAAGGTATGCCAAATGTTCAGAAGGTTTTGAAACGTAAAGATATATAAAAATTTTCATTTTCGATTTTTTTGCGATTACTATAACATGCTCTACGGGAAGTTAATAATGAATATTTCGAGACGGTGCTGGTTGATTATATGTAGGGCATAGTATTACAGTCTATAGTATAAAGTATTCTAGATCATACATTAAAGGTCATTAAAAGTCTGTAGGATAAAGTATTGTATAGATCATACATTAAAATCTAATAAGAGTCTCGTAACATATATATTTCAACAAATTTTAAAAAAATGTGTAACTATTTCGTGTTATTCTTTTTCCTTTTCACCTTTTTCTTGATTCAGGTTTGTTTTTCAAGGAGATACGGTAATTATAATATTTTTAGCTTCGATTGTATTTTTAGTGTTGCTTGTGGGTGTGTAAGTCCGCACGTGACGTGCAATGCGAACGTTTCATTTTATCGAGCGGATGTGGAAAACATTTATAGAAATTAAATTAAAATTTATTATTTGAAAAAAAATTATATTAATTCATATACATATATGTATAGTAGGGCAAGTCAATTTAAAAATAGCTTAAGCACATGTGATTTTGGATTCTAGGGATCAAATAAGAAACTTTATTTAAGAAACCATATCTCTAAAAATGAATTCCGATGTTCCGATGTAGGTTCAATTCACTTTACCATATTACAACATATCGATTTAGAATTTAAGTAAATGTACTGTATTTGAAGAGTATTTTATATGTGAAAATTCGAGTCCAAGGGTAACAAACGGTGTGTACTCTTTGAAGAGTATTTTATATGTGAAATTCGAGTCCAAGGGTAACAAACGGTGTGTCCTCCAAAATCTTGACCATTCCCAAGGTCTTTCTCCCCTGGTGTCGCGATCAAAACAAATCCCACCGCCAGTGACGTCATTCCGGCTTTCGCACCATCGCATCATCACTTCACCATCACGTCGTGCAGTCTCACCCGTCATTCGCCTCTCACGTTGCGATCACGTCGCGATCACGCATGGACCGTTCGCAGTTCACGCGCTGATCACGCTCGAAATCGGCTCCGATTGGCGGGCGGGCGACGAGCCCTCGACCCGGATTGGTCGAAGAGGCCCGGAGCACGTGGTGGTCGGATGACACATAGGACTCATACACTGATGCAGGTTGTGGCGGTGTGGTGGTGAGCGAATCGATGGATTTTAGTGCTGGAAACAATGGGGGAAAAGACGAAGCAACAAGGCTGCTGTGAGGGTTGATTACATAGATAGTATACGTTTTAGTTGATGATTTACGAGCAACATAGATCGCACCGCTTGTACTACAACCTTAAGGTGGTATTCTAGTGTAGACCGATGAATTTTAGGTCATCTTTAAAGTGTCGTAAAAGAAAGCATTAAATGTTTTTACTATCCATTTTTTTACCACTTGTTTATTAATATTATTAAAATACAAAACAAAAATTAAAAAATAAAAAAGTTAAAAATTGTAAAAACTGGCAACTGATCAGTCAGTCTTGACATGATTTCAGCCCTCCTAGCCATCGAAAATGCAAAAAGTAAAAAGATTATTAATCTACAATGATGTCGCAATCGCCCTAACTAGTGATGAGTAAAAAAATTTTTTTTCACAAATTGGCGAGTGTTTGAAAAAAAAAAGGTTTTTTTACTGTTTTTCTGAGTTTCTCGAATTTTTTAAAAATAGTAAAAATAGGAATTTCGGGATGATTCTAGTTCAGACTATAGATAGATCTATAAACAAGATTCTCTGAAAATTTCAAATAAACTGGTCAAGTAGAACTCCAGAAATCGTGACAAGAGTACTGAAAAAGTAAGTTGGGGAAAAACGCATTTAAAGTTTTGCGTGAAGCCAAACCAGTATGGAGACCGAGTCAGTAAAATGCCTATATCTCCAAAAATAATTCAAATTTTCAAATACCTTCTCGTACTTATATTCTTAGATAGTTTTACTTTGCAAATATGAAATAAAAAAAATCGATTTTTTTGAATTTCTACACTAGAATACCCCCTTAAAATTTACACATATTATTCATTTTTATACTCTTCTTTTATCTATGTATTATTCTTTAATGTGTATACGTGAAACGTCAGTTAAATCGATAAGTTTATGACAAAAAGTTAGAGACAGAAGAGATTTTATAACGATTTGTAAGCTTTACAATCTTCAACTTTTGTTTACTTCAATACATTATTATAGCTGCAAATGAAAAAAAGAATAAGTATTAACGCGCAAAACTTTTAATTAAAATTAAAAGTTTTGCGCCCGACCACCCGATTTCTTGCAATTACTATAACTTACCCTATGGGAAGTAGTAATATACATATGTAAATCATTAGTAGGAATGATAAAGATGACTAGATATGGTTATTTAATCATAAAAATGATTTCATATCGTCCTAAGCATTTATTAACAATTATCAATTTACATCGATTTTTATAAATTTCGTCCATTGCACAACACTATTCCAACCGTTTCTATGCGTTAGTATTAGTTTTATTTAAATTTAACAACAAATCTGTATATATACATTTGTTTATTACTAGAAAGGGTGTGTGCCTACATTTGACTTTTTTAGTATTTGTAGAAGAAATTGATTAAAAATTAAAATAAAACGACATTCTATGATTTTTGTTCTAAGTTGTGCGCGCATTTTGATTTCAATTCGCGACGGATCGTCGTCCTGAATACACCTATTTAAAGAGAACTGTTGTAAAAATTAATTTTAATTATTAAATATTAATTAAACTAGCGTGACTAATTACATTGTATGTTAGTTTAATAGTCTGACAGTATAAAATCATTGTAAAAAGTGACTAGTTTGTGTTTTTTACAAAAATGATTTATGAAAATTGTGCAATTTTGTCACCACCTTGGTCTCCGGATCATTTAAAGGAGGTATGGATTTATTTAATATTTTTTATAACTTTTATATCATTTAGTAAATTCGTAGAAAACTATAAACAATCTTAAATATTTTCTAATATTATAAACATAACAGCAACTATCGGTAAACTTTAAAATCGCAATAGAAAATATAGGTGAAGCGTTTTCATATCTTCTATAAGTCTTAAAATAAAAGATTTATATAATCAATTTATTAGACAAATGTGCCTAAAATTAAATCGTTTACAAATTTTACTCAGAAATAGAGATCCTGGAACAACTCTATGAACTCTAAAATCAACATTTGAAGAAATTAGTTATCAATTGAGAAATATAAAAACATAGTGTGTATTAGAATAGTGTTAAACTATTCGTGTACTATAAATAGTACATTTAGACAAATAGTGCAAACCTAAATCATCTACACCTTGGCCTGATATGAAACACCTCTATAGCAATTTTCTATACTTTTAACATGCAACAGAAATTAACCAAAGGGTAGTATGTACTTAAAAGAGATGTATTAAAGATTACTGAACGTCGAATTTGTTTTTTAAATTAATTTATAGTTTATATTTATTATAAACAATGAATTATCCGCGATCACTCACGGTTCACGTGAACACTTGCTGAATGTAGTAACAGATATCTCTTTATCTTTTCACACCCGTTTGCATTTTGTTCCCGGAGTACATTGCACGGACGCGTGGTCGGTGCGTGATTGATAAAAATCTTTGTTTTTGTATTGAAAACCCTTTAAATTTTAATTTTATCGTATAGTTTATATTAAGTTATGTTTATTCTTGATATTCTCCATGATATAATACTCTATATTTTTTATTTTGTACAAATTTAATGCATCTACTTGTTCATCCGTATTGTTATAACGGTTATATTACATATCCGCCATGAAAGTTCCGTTTTAAATAAGTTCAGTAGCGTTAATTATATTAATAATTAAACACTTAATTTTTAACAGTCAAATACTATTATAACAATTCTTATCTAGTATTTCCCCGAAAAATTGACACATTGCAATAAATAAATAATAAAAAATAAATTTATTAGAAATAAATTAATGTTAAATTAAGATATTAGATTAACTTTTAACAAATATTTATTTTTTATTTTCAGGACAATCAAAATGATCTTAAAAGAAAGTACGTGCCGTCTAGTTTTCAGAATCAAGATATTTCCGAAAATGATACTGATCTTCCGCTCAGAAAACGGCATTGTTGTCGATTGGACTTGGATGAAGCAAATAATAGATTATCAGAACTTAATAGAATTTCATCAGAATTTCAAAATAACTTAGCTGAATCTAGTAGATTCCAACAGCTTTCTAGTTTTGAAGAAAATTCGTTAGATTGTCCAGACAAATCAATGACTCACCAAAGAGAATCAGTTATAATGCGTGTGGATAAACAAGGCAAATGTTTCAGAGACTCTGATATAAATCGTGATGGTGTTTTAATTGAATTCAGACCGCCAACGCCGCCACAATCTGATAATGAAGACAAAGAAGTGCCTTTCAACGTAGTACGTTCATTAAAATTTAAAATCAAATCAAAATTACAAAATGAAACAACACAAAACAACTTAACCGTCAACCATGGCGTGACTGAACCTTGCTATACACCTGTTGTACAACAAACCAAACCTGTAGCAACAATAAAATCTGCGCCAAAAATTTGCGAAAAAAGACTTCTGCCAAAATTGGCACCAAAACAAAACGTCCAACATATACTGGATCCGACATTCATCACCCATGCCAATTTCCAAATGGAGAACAGACTCTTTCCGGTTTTATTAGTGACGCAGAATCCTGCACAAATGGTCAACTTGGTTGGGACAGTAGATGTCGCCACTCCTGCTACTGATGGTGCCAAAACTGTCGGTAAACCAGAAGACACAAGGCGAAGGATTTATGAATGCCAGTATCCTGGATGCGGAAAAAACTACTTTAAATCGTCGCACCTTAAAGCACATAATAGGTGAGAATTTTTATCATATTTACAATTGTTTCTAAGGGGACAACTCAGTAATTTAAACTCCCGCCTAAGCAGACCTTAAAATGCAGAGAAAATATATTTGTTTTCAATTTTCAACTGTTCTTTTAAAGTGTACAGAGTTGCTTTACAGCTATATAATTTCAGACACTTTTGCAAATCTCAAAACTTTGTACAATTTTGGCATATATACGATTCATATAAACCAATACATTGCAAGTTACAATATAGAAAATAAATTTATAAAGATTGACGTTGTTTGCAACATCTTACATATTAGTATTATATTTTTACCTTTCTCCTTTCTTCCAGGTGTCACACAGGCGAAAGGCCCTATCGTTGTTCCTGGCCCTCGTGCACCCGTCGTTTTTCACGTTCTGATGAATTGTCAAGACACAGGAGGTCCCACACGGGCGAAAAGAGATTCGCCTGCACCATTTGCACTGCTCGATTTATGAGAAGTGATCATCTGGCAAAACATGTTAAAAGACATAGTAAACAGAATAATAGTAATAAAATAACAGAGCAGAAATGTGTTTGAAATATAAAAAATGGATAGATAGCTTCAAAAATATTATATGATCAAAGAAGTATTATCAGTTGGCAAGTGACTGGTGTCCAATGCCAGAAAGAAGTAATGAATTTGTTAAAAGGTCTGATAAAATACATAAGATAAAGGATGATAATATAAAACCAGACACAAAAAATAATAAACACAATGATGAAGTTTAATAAAGAAATGAAGAAATGTTTATAAAGATCTGGTTAAAGACTTATTTAAAAGATGGGAAGTGAAGATTTTTTGTCTAATTCTGAAATGACTGAAGAAAAATTAAATATTGGTAGAAGAACAAGTTTATAACGTTATCATTATATTTAAAATAAAATAAATGTATTAAAAGCTGATGTGGAGATTCCCTGTAACTGGCTACAAAATGACGTAAAATGCATGAATTGATAAATGTTGATATAATATATAGCGATCAAGAAAAGATGGAATACAAAAAAATTTTAAGACTAATTGCTAAAACTTGTGCCTTGAATTGACTCTAGTTCAATTATAAAAGTAAAAAATAATATTAGGAAAACATAGGAAATGATATATTTGAATGAACAATATGTTATAATATGGGCAAAACTGTCAAATAGATTTTTTGGACAAAAATTGGCTGGTATGGGTTAAATACAAAATGAATGAGGAGAATTATGTATAATTGTGATATCAAAGTCGACTAGAATAAGGATTAATTTGTTTATATGCATATATGTATATTTATACTTGTATTGATATATTTGCTGTGATCATGAATCTATTTATATGAAAATAATATTATTAAACTATATGTATATATAAATATAAAATTTAATACAAATATTAATATTCACAAATATAGTTTGAATTTATATATGTATTTTAGTACCATTGAGCAATTTCATGTTTTATTTGGCATTGTGACGTTATACTCCATGACGTGTGAGTTCTTGCAAAATAAACCTGGCTAATTTTAAATTATGCAGGTATTATGACGCCCGAAATTTTTTTGTAAATTGAACTTCTTCAACACAATCTGATGGTACATACTATACAATCAATTCATCATAAAATAAATTCAATGAAATGAAAAAGAAAGTACCATGAACGGAAATATTGTGAAAGCTATTATAGTTATTGTTTATTAGCATTTTAACAATGATTTAGTATCTAATTTATTATAATATAATGTGTATTTCAACTAATTCTAAACTTATAAATTTTGTGTCCTACTTTCGATCAAAAAATATGTATTACAAATATAATAGTACAACTTAAATATGAAAAATAAATACAAAAAAAATCTAATTTACAATAAATTTAAAAAATGAAGGAACGTATACACAATTATATAAAATTTAATATTAATACCTGGTATATTCCAAAAAATATATAAAACCAAAGCTATTTAACTTAACAATAACTGATTTTCTTTTAAACTGTACCTATATGTTCTTTAAATATGAATAGATAAATTTGTATTTAGATATTCGACAAGCTTGTAAATATTTAAATAATAATTAAAATGCCGAACATCATTATAATGAGGTTGTAACTACCAAGAATAAATTTGTTATATTATCTAGGAAATATGTACATAAGTTCTCCTCTGTCTTATCCTTCATGCACGTTCCATTCGCGGGCGTGTAACTTTCGTAAATGACTCACTTATAAATGACTCACTGGGTTTGTCAATGTCTTAACTTTGAAACAAAAGATTAGTAAAAAACTAGTGTTAAAATTTAAATAAATATTATAAAAGAATATTTTTCATTTGTTAAGGTATGTATAAGTGTTATTTTTATATATTAAATGCGTTTGGTTAATGTGCAATGTGTCAAAATGGAAAAGTATGTCGTGCTATTGTCTTTGTTGAATTTTGCATTTGACATATTGGGAATAGTTTTCTAAACATATAATTAATAATACAGAATATATGCATATATGTAAGATATGTAATTTAATAAAAGTAATTTACATGTTGTACATAAATTGTGTAAATTTTGTACACATCTTATCTATTGTATGAGTCATTGTTTATCAAGAATTTGATATATATACATATATATATTATATATATATATATATATATATATATATGTGTGTGTGTGTTTGTGTATATATTATTGATATGTTCAATTATCCTTACTTTTCAGGTTTTCAAATTAGTTATTTTCCACAATGTCAGCTCGCAAGACAGCTGGTCGCCGTACCACAACCAAGAAACGTGCCCAGAGAGCCACTTCCAATGTCTTTGTTATGTTTGATCAGGCACAGATTGCAGAATTTAAAGAAGCTTTCAATATGATCGATCAGAACCGAGATGGTTTTATTGAAAAGGATGATTTGCATGACATGCTTGCATCTTTGGGTAAAGATATAAATGATGAGTGAATTCAATTGTAATGAATAGATTTTGATGTTAATTGTTTGTTAGGTAAAAACCCAACTGATGAATATTTAGAAGGAATGATGAATGAGGCTCCAGGTCCTATTAATTTTACTATGTTTTTGACTCTTTTTGGAGAACGGTTGCAAGGTACTGATCCTGAAGATGTTATCAAAAATGCATTTGGGTAAATATGAAGCATACACAAAAATTAATATATATAATATATATATATATATATAATAATAAAATGTTTTTTTCTTAGGTGTTTTGATGAAGACAATACTGGTCACATAAATGAAGAGCGTCTACGAGAACTTTTGACATCAATGGGTGATAGGTTTACTGATGAGGATGTTGATGAAATGTACAGGGAAGCACCCATCAAAGGAGGCTCTTTTGATTACATTGAATTTACACGAATTCTTAAACACGGTGCCAAAGATAAAGATGAACAGTGAGATTTTGTGGAAAGTTGGAGTTTTGTAAGATTTTTTTCATGTTTTAAATATAAATGCAAATTGCAAATGCTCTTTGTATTATATAATAATGTACTTACTCGTATTAAAAGATTGATGAGTATTTGCAAACAATATTTTGGTTACCAATTTTTATATAAAAAGTTTGCTATGAAAAATTTATCTGAATGGTGATCAGAATAAGTCGAAAAACTATTTGTTAACATATTGAATATTATTACTGAACACAAAATTGTTACACAAATAGTTCTGAATTTATGTTTTATAGTTTATAGTTGGCATTTTATGTATTTATATCTTACTATTGTAATATTTTCAATTAAATTTATTTTTTAACCTATCTTACATATCATTATACATATATTTTAAATTGCTTACATCAAATGACAAATATTTAACTATTTACAATATACTTAAATTCTATTTACAAGCCGGGCATAACATAAGCAATATTATCAAGCAAATCACTAAAATCCATATCAGAATTAAGTTCTGGTACCTGTTGCGATAAGCAAACTAAAGGACCTACAGAACACAAAAGACTATCAAGTAAAACACTTAAAGAACCGGACACTGCAATCTGTCCCTACAATAAAAATTAATTAGCAACATTTGCATGAATAATAAAATAAATTGTATTACATTAGAGTTGTATACCTCATGTTCTTTTAATCGTTCACCAATTATACTCAAACTCTCGCCAAGTAACTTTAGATAAGCAGCTATGTCAATTGGGGAACTTCCTGTTACCTTATACATGCCTTGAGATGATAAACCGCTGCTCATTGCTGATGATTTGGGGCTCAACATTAAATTATCAGAATTTTGTTGGGAATTAGGCATCACTTCTAAATCTTCTATATCAAGTTTCTTAGAAACTGTTGGTGAAGTGGAGAATTGGGAGGGCTATAAAGAACATAAATCATAAAATTCATATCATAACAATAAGACGGTAGTCATTTATTACCTTATTAGATTTGCTTTTATTTATAAATTGTGCTTTATTATCAGATGTTTTTATTTCTTCATCTCTCGCTACTTTCATAGCCATACGTTTAGCCCTTCGACGCCAATTATACTTCTCTCCATTAGGCACATTTGCCCAAGTCACCTAATGCACATAATGAAGATGAAAATGTAAATATTTAAGCAGAACAATTATTGCAGTATTATTCACCTAATTTTTTGATATAGATGAAAAATCAATTGAAGGATTTTCTTTTACGATTTTATTTCTAATTCCTTTAGCCCAGAGCATATAAGCTGTGAAACGAGATTTACCTTTGTCTTTACGTTGTACTTTACCTTTTGCTGGACTTTTGCTGTCTCTCGATAAGGTAGATTTTTTTCTAGACAATTCCTGCTTAAAGTAAGAAAAATATTAAAGGAATACAATACGTTTTATAATTTGTAATTAAGTACCTGTAAGTAAACACTTTGTGAAGGTGTATTTTCAAAATCTTGATGTTCATTTAGATCATTTTCTTCTAAATCAACATCAGAGTCGTCTTCTCGTTCTGATACATTCTATCGTTTCTAAATTTGAATCATAAGCTTCTTCTGAATCACCATCTGAAAGATGTTGTTCCTGAATATCATATTCAACTTTTACACGATTTTCTGAAAACATAAATATAAATAATCAAAACTGTTAAATCCAAAGAAAAGCACATGCTAATCCATTACTACCTTCTCCAGATGGGAAATCAAAATTAGATGTGTGTGGCTTTGTAAAGCTTTTTTTAGGCCTTGGTTCTAGGTCATCAGGAGACTCAAAATCTGTTAATTTTGACGATTTTTTTCTAACACGTCCGCTTCTCGATACTCCAGTCACTTCCAAGTCTAATTGAAGAAAAACGTTTTGAGATAAAAATCAAAGAATAATGTTTTCGCGGTTTTTCTGTTCAGTAAACATAACCTTCTTGCTTTGGTTTGCGTCCGATTTGATCTGGGTCTTCACGTTTTGATTTTAACGATTTGTCGTTGGTGTACATTATGATAAAAGGGATTATATAATAACAATAACATAAATAAAACACACAATTAAAATAAATAAGTGTAATAATGTATTTACATCATTACCAATGTAGCTTCATGTTTGGTATACACATTAAAATTATGTAAATTACGACCCTGCGTAATTAGCTAAAAATTTATATAAATAATAATTAAAATCTATTTAATTATAAAATATATTCAATATTTATTTTAATATTATTTACAAACTTAGACAAACGCCATTTCGGATCGAGACAGTGTTACCAACTTTATACGTTATGTCATTTTTTGAAACAGTGATGGCAAAGGATACAGAGACAAATTCGTTTTTTATAATTTAATTTGAAATAAAGTTTTAATTTAAAAATTAATATGGTATATATTGATATGTATTAAAATAATTTATTTTGTTTTTGACCATTCTTATTAAAATTAATTAAATTAATAATAATCTTATTATAATTAATTAAATATCATAATTGGAAAAACAAATATTTTTTAAATATTTAATTCCTAATCTTGACAAATCAAACCAAATCAATTTAATTGGAATTGTTTTGTTAAAATGATAATATAAAGGATTAGCTCAAAACTAATAAATAAACATTAATCTTAAAAACTTGAATGCGTTTTATATTTTATATAAAAAGGTTGAAAAATATTAGTTTTGTATTTTTAACGACAATTTTTGAAAACTAGTGATGTAAATGTTAGATATATGTTAGAATCAGTTAGAATATTGTGTAGATTATTTAAATTTATATGAAATTTTTAAACTTCTTAAATATATATCAATCGGATAGTTCAAAAGTTAGAAAATATATAATAAATAACTGCAAAAATTGAACGTGGTCCAATGTGCAATTTTTTTTATTATATTCAATTACTACTTTGAAGTATACCGAGTTACTAAGCTTAGTATTACTATGTACGGTGCTACGGGCTTATAACTCTTTCATCAAAACCATTTTCATTCAAAAGCCGTTTTGTTTAAAAATGATCTTTTACTCCTCGACCTTAACCAGCACTGTTCTTCACAAGATTAAATATTCCTCGGACCGAACGATCCTCTTCGTCTTCACTTCACCAGTTATGTCAATGATGTGATGTTGTACAACCTCAAACTATTAATTAATTTTATTTGTGATATAAATAAATCTATAATAATGTCTAAATGTGATTAAATGCCAATGATTTATTTTATAATGCACAGTTTAATAATAAGCGAGTGATATTATTCAAGAATAAAATAGAAGGAGGATCAGAATCGTCGTCATGGATCCTGAAAAACGTGTATATAAAATAGTACTTACAGGAGGTATGTGAGGACATTGATTTATTGTTGATTGTTTAGTAGTAATTTTATTAATTTGTATAAAATCATTCACAATTAAACACGTGCTGGTAATCTTCCGGTTGCCGTGCGCCGAGTTGCAAATGAAAAACTGTGTGGATACAGCTAAAAATAGTTATTTTATGTAATATCATGTTACAGTACTAGAATAATCTTAAATATATACATTTGAAGAAATTTATAATAGTTGGGGATTGTGCAAAAATGATTTAACTAAATTTTGCAACTTATGTGTGTGGAAAATCACATGTCTCATGTTTATACAGATACATATATATCATAAGTTATTGTTTGTATCTTTTATGTAATACCTTAATTTAATATAATGATATATATAAATACACATATACACAAATATGAGTATATGCATATTCTTATAGTGCTAACAAGATTTGAACTAATCCGCTATAAATATATTAAATATATGCAAATGTTCATAAATGAACAGTATAACCATATAATTCTTAATATAATTCACATTATGATAATGTAAGTTTTTATGATAACTTTTAGCTACAATCAATACACGATCGTGCAACTATAAGAATTTTTTAAAATACTTTGTAGAATTCAAAAATATTACAAATTACATATATATATATATATTATATATATATATATATATATAATAAATCAAGTTTAAAAGCGCAAGTCCAAATATAATATATGTTCAAGCTAAATGAGTCGAACACAATAGGAGAATTATTAATTATGCAATATTTATCAAGAGTTTCATTTATCGTGTACTATTTTTATTCCAGATGCTTTTCAAATTAAATTCAAAATTTATTATTGGATATGAATGTGTATGTAAACAAGACACTTAGTTTAATTAATATTGTGTCTTTAATTGAATCGAGACATTCAATTTGAATTTATTGTTAAATAATTGCTCTAAAGTCCAATATTTATTTTACAATTAAACTCCATTTTATAATTGGAAATATGATATTCTTCTGGTCCAAATGTAATATATATTGTTGAAGTTAAATAAGTCGAACACAAGAGGAGAATTATTAATTATGCAATATTTATCAAAAATTCCATTTATCGTGCACCATTTTTATTCCAGATTCTTTTCAACTTAAATTCAAATTTATTATTGGATATGAATGTGCATGATGATTTATTAGTATATGTATATACAAGACACTTAATTTAATCAATATTGTGTCTTTCATTGACTCGAGACATTTAATTTGAATTTATGGTTAAATAATTTCTCTAAAGTCCAATATTGATTCTATAATTAAACTCCATTTTATAATTGGAAATAAGATATTCTTCTGGTCCAAATGTAATATATATTGTTGAAGCTAAGTAAGTTGAACACAAGAGGAGAATTATTAATAATGCAATATTTATCAAAAAATTTTTTCATCATGCACTATTTTTGATCCAGATACTTTTTAAGTTAAATTCAAAATTTATTATTGGATATGAATGTGTTTGATGATTTATTAGTATATGTATATACAATACAAGACACTTAGTTTAATCAATATTGTGTCTTTAATTGACTCGAGACATTCAATTTCAATTTATGGTTAAATAATTGCTCTAAAGTCCAATATTTATTCTACAATTAAACTCCATTTTATAATTGGAAATAAGATATTCCTCTGGTATGATGGATTCGTAGAAAACAATTTAATGAATCATGCTTTTAATGGAACACGAACAAAATCCTTGATGCAGATCTGAGCTTATTAGGAAATATTTTTAAAACTGCTAATTGAATTTTTGTTATTTTATTATAGCTATTGTAGTTTTTGCATAATTTTGTTTCAAAGAATTTCTAAACATAAATCATAAAATCAATTACCAATGTTTGTGATAAGAATTTATTATCCAGATAAAATCAATTTGATTGTAAATATGCAATGTTTACATTAGCAATTAATTTGCATTTAATTGATTTGTTGTTTATAATATTACTAATTTGATTTTAATGATTTACTGATAAGGATTTCATGACGCAAATTTATTTGATAACATTTGCTATAAAATAATTTAATACATTTTATGAACAATAAATTGTTTATAAAGCATTTGGTTTTGTTTAGCATTGTTTATAAATATGATGGTTAATTTTAATTCAGAGTTATTTTTTATTTCAATTATGGTTTTAACATTTGAATGCAATTTTCTACTTCATTAAGAATTTTTGTTTATACAAGTGTTATGCTTAACGTTTTGCAATTTTGCAATTTGAAAAAAATGGAGCAGGTCTGACGCACTTTATAATTATTTTACAAATATATATATATATATATATATATATATATATATATTACGTGTTTATTTTTGTTTTAGTTTTATTCATTACCACTTCTTTTTTTATATTTCAGGGCCATGTGGTGGAAAAACAACAGGTCAATCAAGATTGAGCACTTTTTTTGAAAATTTAGGATGGAAGGTAAAAAAATTAATTTTGAATTGTATATAACTAAATAATTTTTTACCAATTTTTTTCCATTCTTTAATTTTCATAGTAATCTTGTCTACATTCACAATTTTTATATAATATTTATTATAATACAATTTTGCAGGTTTTTCGTGTACCTGAAACAGCAACAGTTCTATTGAGGTAAGTTTATTTTTATATATACATATATATATATATATATATATATATATATATATATGTCATAATAAATTTTGTAACATTAGACGCCACTTTATATTATCATATCTAATTACAATATTATGCACATTTCATCACGCAATTTTCTTATTTTTCACATTTTGGTATTTATATAAGATAAAGTAATCTCATATGGATATTTGATATCATTTTAAGGGCATGTAATAATTAATTTTCTTAATGTAATTTGTAAAATTGATACCAGGGTTCGGAAATTATTTTTGCCTGGTTTTTGGCATACATATTTAATAATAAAATAGCGATGCATTGTTACCTTTGTTGTATTTTAAAACATAACTATTTTATAGCATTAAATCGTGTTGAAGTTAAATCGTTAACACAAATATTTCCGATGTTGTGTCGCCATTGTTCCATTGTAAACAATTCGGAACACAAATAACTGTAGAAACAATAAAATACTTTTTAATAATACCTATTTGCATTTTTTCGAAAGAACAATGATTTTATGCAAGTCTATTATATTTTATATAAGTATAAGTTTAGTGTATATTATATGTCATTTGGAGTAAATATTTGTTAATTGTTTTATTAATTTTATTGAAAAATATATCCAACCATTTTTTTAAATATTTTCCGTTACGCATCTTCAAAAAAATAAATTGAGAAATAATTTGGAAATCATTGTTTTCAAAATTCGAAGAAATTATTTCATTTAAAATGAATTTTTCTACACTTTTATGCATATTTTTTTTTATTAATATTAATATTAATAATATAGGGAGTATTCGAGTGTAGAAATTCCAAAATAATCGTTTTTTGTTTTTTTGAGGATGAAAATCTCGTATACTTTTATGGATATTCATTAATATTTTTCGTTACCATCGTTCAACAATAAAGATGTTAGGGGGTATTCTAGTAGAGAAATCCCAAAAAATCTTTTTTTTTGTTTTTTTTTTTCATATTTGCAAAGCTTAACTGTACAAAAATATGTGTATGAGAGGGTTTGAATTATTTTTGAAGATACAGCTGCTTGACCATGATAATCTTCTTATGTTCTTCATGTTGCAAAATTTTAAACGCTTTTTCAAAGCAGTCTTTTTCAATACAATTATTGCGATTTCTGGATTTATAGTAGGCCGATTCACTTGAAATTTTCCTAATATGTTTTTCATAAACTTAAATTTTTTACATTGTTTTATATGTATATTTAGATTGAC